GTACCATCTATATCAGTGTCGACTACATTATTGTGACGTAAGTCGTGTCAATTATAATTTCAAATTTATCTATGTACTCTTCAGATAGTAATAGACATTTAAATTGCTAAACAAATAAAAAAACTGCCGTTTTCAACGATTGTAATTTTCATATATTTTCGTAAATATGTCGGTGTGTCCTTTTTAAACAGTTCCGTATTTATAAGCAATTATCGGTTTTACATACGATTTATGCGCTTGTGAGTCGAGTAAAGCTGTGACGAAGCCATTTTGGAATTCTAACTCGACTGCTGGAGTAGTAATTCTACGCGGGCATTTTCATTACTCGGGTGGTTTACGGTTCGAACGAGGGGCAGCTGGTTCTTAACCGCGACGCCGGTTTGCCCACTGACAGTGTTAACTGCCATTAGTGGATTAGCCGGGTCGACTGACACCCCCTCCCCCACTGTGCCCGAAAAAGTTTCGAACACCTGACTTGCGCTATGTTCGGTCGTGTCGGCAGTGTCTTCGAATTCCGATACCCCGATTACATACGAATTTACCGCGGCGTACCCTCCATCCCGATAAGAGGGGTGTGGTGCCGAAAAAGTGCCAAGATAGTTGGCGGTACGTAACTCGTAAGGGCCGTTAGATTCGGTGTTTTGCGCGACGGTCGTGATGCGTGATATGTTGTTACCGGATAAAAATTACGTAAGGCGCGTTTTAACTGAAACGTCGTTTAAAACGCTGCGCCCTGTTTGGATCTGTTGTATGCTTGGGGGGGGGGGGTAATTCCCTCCTAGCCGATTGCCGTTTCCCGATACCGACGGTCTATTTGGGCATTGGCGATGCCAGTGTCACTCGCTGCAATATCGGCACGGGGATGGCGGTGCGTCCGCGTTTGCATAACCCGCTCGCTGTCGGTTGGCTGGTTGAGCATTATGCCGCGGAGGCAGTTCGGCTGGCTGTAGGGTCGTTGGTGGAGCGTACCGAGGAGCCGCGGTCTTGTCTACGTTGTGCGGTATCTCATGTAGATCGACGAAAGACGAAAGACGAATGCTGGGTGCATTAACCGTATCATAGCGCAGTAATCGTCCCGTAAAAGCCCCGCTAACTGTCGCAAAAGTTGTTGTTCTGGTAACCCACAACGTACTCGCGCGGCCAAACGTTGTTTATGAA